GGAATCGGAGTGACGTGTACGGATGGAAAACCCAACCGTATTTTTCTATTTTTCTGTATTCGGAAGCCACCAAATTGGATTTCAAAAAGGCGTCAGACATTGCTTTCCGGGTTCTACACGTCACCTCGATTCCAAAAATACCCATATTGTGGTGTATTTGACAGTGTTTCCAAGTTTTTCTTCTACGAGAACCCACCATCATGGATTTCAACATAGCCTCAGACATGAATTTCCGGTCTCTACACATCAACACAATTCCAAAAATAATCATGTTGAAGGATATTTGACAGTATTTTTATATTTTCCTCTACCTGGAAACTGCCATTTGGATTTCAAAAAGGCGTCCGATATGGATTTACGGACTCTACACGTCACCCCGATTCCAAAAATACCCATATTGTAGAGTATTTGATAGAATTTTCAGGGTTTTCTCCAACCGGAAGCTGCCATCTTGAATTTCAAAACGGACTCAGACATCGATTTGCGGTTCTCACACGTCTGCCCAACTCCAAAAATACCTATATAGTGGGGTATTTGACAGAATTTCCAAGTTTTATAGTTCACCAACCGGAAGCCGCCATTTTGGATGTCAGAAAGACATCAGACATAGTTTTCCGGCCCCTACACGTCACCTGGATTCCAAAAATACCCACATTGAGGTGTATATGGCTTATGCGGGATCAGATTATTCGGATTGAAACAGCGCGTTCAAATTCTGGTATAACACTAAACTGTATTTTCATTTTGCCATATGGCTTATATAAGGAGTCAAACAATAAACCAATTCATTTCTATAGTCCTGATCATCAAAAGGGTTAAAGTACGGAGTAACAATTGTGTATTCAATTTGTTCAAAAATGTTTTGAATACGCAGGCAATTTGAGGCACTTGCGCATGCGACAAAAAATGTTGCAACGATGATGTCGCACGGAAGCTGCAACGATGATCGAATAGATGACGCTACATGTATTTAACTGAATTTACAAATTTTTATCCAACCGGAAGCCGCCATATTGAATTTCAAAGAGGCGTCAGGCATCTATTTCCGGTACAACACGTCATCAAAATTCCAAAAATACCAATATTTTGGGTAATTTTACAGTATTTCCCAGTTTTTCTCTTACCGGAAGCCGCCATATTGAATTCCAGAGAGAAGTCAGACACGGTTTTTCGGTCCCCACACGTCACTCCGACTCCAAAAATACTAATATTGTGGGTAATTTGGCAGTATTTCCCAGTTTTTCTCTAGCCGGAAGCCGCCATATTGAATTCAAAATGGTGTCATACATGGGTTTCAGGGCCCTACATGTCACCCAGATTTTAAAAATACCCATTCTGAGGGCTTTTTGGCAGAAATTCCAATTTTTTCTCCAACCGAAGGCTGTCATATTGAATTCAAAATGGCGTTAGACATGGGTTTCCGGTCCCTACGCGTCACCCCAATTCCAAAAATACCCATATTGAGGGATATTTGACAGAATTTTCATGTTTTTCTCCAACCGGAAGCCACCATCTTGAATTTCAAAACGGCCTCAGGCATCGATTTCTGAACCCTACACGTTACCAAGACTCCAAAAATACTCATACTGTGCGTAATTTGGCAGTAATTCCCAATTTTACTACAACCGGAAGCAACCATATTGAAGTCAAAATAGCGTCAGACATCGATTTCCGGAACCTATACGTCACCCCAATTCTAAAAATACCCATATTAAGGGGTATTTGACAGAATTTTCAAGTTTTTCTCCAACCGGAAGCCACCATCTTGAATTTCAAATTGACCTCAGACATCGATTTCCGGTCCCTACACGTCATCTCGACTCCAAAAATACCAGTTTTGTGGGGTATTTGGCAGAGTTTCCAAATTTTTCTCCAACCAGAAGCCGCCATATTGAATTTTAAAGTGGCCTCAGACATGGGTTTCCGATTCCTATACGTCACTCCTATTCCAAAAATACCCTAGGCCTATTCTGCGCGGCGTGTGAGGTGAGGTGACTCACTGTCACTAGTGAAGTGACAATTGTCACCTCGGGTGAGGTGACTCTCCATTTGATTTGCATGGAGAGTCACCTCACCCGAGGTGACAATTGTCACTTCACTGTCACCTCACCTCACACGCCGCGCAGAATAGGCCTACCCATATTGAGGAAGCCGAAGAAACAAAAAAAAATGATTGAAACAAATTTAGAAGTAATAAATTACCGAAAACTGCAACCATCGCTTATAGAACTCTAAGGTTTTCCATCCAGTCGACTGCACCGGAGGTTACGACTCTTGTCACTTAAAATCGTCACTTCAGTACGACTTTTGTCACCGAAATACGACTGTGAGAATAAAGTGAGAGTTCACCGGGTTCATCCCAAGTGACTTTTCTCACCTCACTCGCCAGCTGGAATCGGGTGACACGAGTGACTCGAGTCACCTCACCTCATTCGCCACGCAGAATAACCCTGTTCTGCTCAAATCACACTACCGACATCTGTCTCCGTGTTCGCGAAAAACGTTTATCTAAGCCACTGATCTGCAGCTAGAATTGTTTGTTGGGTAGTAAATATCTGAGGAAAGTAATTGCTGATGAGGTTGTGTTGACAGAACCATGTAGATACCGCACCTGGATTTTTTTTTTGAAAATTAGGGAATATCAGGGAATTTGATTTTTTTCATTGAGTCGACACCCTGATAACGCAAATAATAACTTGACTCTGAAAAGTTTATTCGATTGAGCCTGCACAAATAAATTAATAAACAACTTGTTTCAAATAAATCATTTACACCGGATACGATGATAGGTGATTCGTACGGGTACACGACGTTAGGCATATGGACGTTAGGCATACGGACGTTAGGCATACGGACGTTAGGCATACGGACGATAGGCATAATGTACGATAGGCATAGTGAACGTTAGGCATAATGGGCGTTAGGCATAATGGCATTAGGCATAATCTATCTGATGAATTCCAGACGGACGATAATGGGGACCGTCTATTGATAGCTGAAATCGTTGCCAATAATGAAAGAGCCTTAAAACTTGCGACGTCTTGGACAGGCAAAGTAATGGGTTGCAGATGTTACGTTTGTCACAGTTCCTTGTTTGTTTCGGTAACTCGTCACTGTTATGGAAGTATCGCTCCCTCACATCAGCAGACGGTTCCGCTAATTTTCATTCAACAAACAACAAAAACAGAATCATTGTATCTAAAAGTATGAGAGTAAATCCTGGAAGCAGCAGGTATGTTTTTTGTTATTGAATGAGAAACCACAGAATTCACCATTCTTTATTTCATGAGCTGTTCTTTGAGGAAAACCTTTTCTTCTTTGACAATTGCAATATGTTTTTAAGAATATATTACAACAAAAGTGTGATTTTTTTATTTCTAAATGCGATTGATTTCAAAACTATGCTGAGTTTTTATTGCCAGATTAACCTCTATCGCTACTAGTCTTGGATCTAAGAAAATATCTAGCTACGTCACTTATGGTATGATAAATAATGGATTCCAAATTAAATAAACTATGTTTGTATAACTTGTATCATCTTTTATTCCACGCTTAGCCTAATTTGAGCATTGTTTACCATGCTCGAAACAGGTTTCTAGACTTGAACAGCAGCAAGGTATTTTATGCCTAACTAACAAGGTATTTTATGCCTAATGCCTAAAGACTTTATGCCTAACGTCCATTATGCCTAACGTCCGTATGCCTAAGGTCCATATGCCTAACGTATTTATGCCTAATGGGGTATACTCGATTCGTACACACACCTTCGTAATGCGGTGTGTAGAAATAAGGTAAACAAAACAGTTTCAGCTTACACAATTACGCGGCTCGCGTTTTTAAGGATGTAAATGGTATTATTTAAGTAAATATAGTCTTTAAAAGTGAATTAACTTGAAAGTGCTTGTACAAGCACGTGTCGTAATTATTTGTTTTGTGGTTCTGATAAGTGAAAGCTAGTGAAAACAGGTATTGAAATTTCATGCCCTGAGCAGAACAAATTCGACTGATCGTAATAAATAATTGGCAATATTTTGGTGGAAAAGTGTTAAAATATGTATCCAGATCTTATTCATACAATTCTGGCCCATTTCCAAAGGTATGTAATTAGTAATTTACTATTTTATATAGGAAGATGTCTTTCGTACGCATACCAAAACACGTTTAATTAATGATTGAGGGAACAGCTATTGTTGCATGACGTACCGTACCACCCTAACATTATTAAAATTATGTAGTGATCGAATTCTACAAGGAGGTGTAAACGGTAATTACCAGTTATAAGTCCATGGAGTTCCATTATGCCCAGCAGTCTTTAAGCGGTATGCAGAAACCTGTGCCGCCCGTCCAATAAAGCGAATCAGGTAACAGCAAAAATTAATGACCGTGTTGGATGAGTTCAAGTTCAAAACAATCAATTCATCGTCCAATCAATTTGGAAATAATTTTAAATCAATTAAATTCATCAATATCAAAGTCAATTTCATTGCGACGAATTTAATGACATGCATTCAATCCAGTCTACGATGACCATTTAATTTTAAATCCCGACTCATTAACTCGATCAAGAGAACACTAATTAACCAAGGTTACACCGCAGTTGCGAAGCCTCTTCTAAAACAATACAGCCAGCGCCTAAATTCAAGATCACTTCGCCCGCCAAAACGACCAGCATCACATTTTCCATTCCAGTCGCTCACCGCTATAAATAAGATATCGTTTTTCCATTTCCAAACCATCGACCTCTGTAGCAGCAGCAGCAGCAACAGACATTCCGATTACGATCCACTTTTGTTCGAGCGGACAACGCAAAAGCTAACTTCGCAACGCAGTTCGATTACGCCACCACCACTCTCAATGCTGCCCTATGAATCGTAAGATGTAATGTAACGCATCAAAATTGCAACACTACCGGTCCAGCACGCACAGTCACAACCCATATTTTCAATCCCGCATGTTAGCCCTCACTAAATTAATTTCCCGCTCGATTTACCAAAACTTACCTCTCGGCGCTCCACTTGGCCAGATTATTGTGATTGATATCTTTGAGTGGTTTCGGTTCCATCATCGCAGCAGCCCCGGTCGAGTGCAGCAGCAGATCCGGTGGAGGTTTCCGTCGGAGATCGGTCGCACTACCGCCGCGAGTTCCACGTAGATTATTGTGGATAACGTTATGACTGTTGTTGTTGTTGTTACCACCGATGATCTTACTGGACCGCAGATCACCGGTACTGGCCGCCAAATTACTATCACTGTTTGCGGTTTTGTTATTTACACCGTGATTGTTTAATCGCTTTCCCGACGATGAGGCGAGCTTCTTCCCGCCGAACATACTGTTGATCCGACACACCTCAATGGACTGATGCATTTTTCCCAGATTGGTGTGCAGTCGGAAGTTGCTGTTGAACAGCTCGTCCACCCGGTGCCCTCCTCCCTTGGCCCCGCTTGGTTTGGTTGCCTTTTCACCATTAACCGCCGTGGCTGCCGTTGCTGATCTGCTTTTCACGTGGACGGCGGCGTTCTTTCCCATTTCCTCGGCGGTCGGTGGCGTAGGAGTAGAAGTAGAAGTAGAAGTAGGAGCAGCAGTCGTCACTTTGATCCCCGGGTCCCCTCGACTAGCATTACCGTTACTGATACTACGCGCTGTGGTTGTGGCTGCTGTTGTTGTTGTTGTTATTGTTGCTGGTTTTTCATCGTTTTCCCTGTGTACGAAAGTGGATGGAAAAAGGAAAGGACGAAAATGAGTCGGAGATAAATATAGAATTTTCCAGATTATGGTTTTTCACTAGCATTTGAACGTTCTATCTGCTATCTACCTTTTTACATGGAGGAGAAGGGTGTTCTGGTGTATGCATATTAGGAAGTTGAACAGTGGCACCGATGTGGTCTGGATAGTGAGGGGGGCTTTTGATGCTTTTTTTAAATTGAGTATTACAGCATTTTTATCGATTAAAGGGTTGAGCCTTGGGTTGAACGTTTCAAAACAGTTCTTGAAAATCAGGGCGGATATTGTTAGCATACTTTGAAAAGTTATTCCTATTTTTTTTGTATTCTCGGCTCTACAGTATTCCCCGCTAATCCGGCTCTCGTTAATCCGACGACTTGATAATGCGACCACACGGTCTCTTGGAGATTTTTTCACATTGTTAGGTTGGTAACAATTGTATGGATTTGACAGTCGGATTTTCGGGTCAAGCCCTCAAATTATGTACAATTTTTTTTTTAATGTAATTTCGGAAGGTAACATACTTAATACCTGCTGAGGATGTTTATAAGCAATCAAAAAGCTAGTTCCAAGTGACCTCCAACTCGAAAGTAGGTAGCTTTTCCTCTTAGAGTATCATTAGCATTATCAGGGCTGTTACAACAGGCGCGGAATTCGCGAATTTCGCGGATTTCGCGATTTTCGCGGATTTGAACTTTCAGTCGCGAAAATCGCGGAAACATTAAATGACGTCGCGAATATCGCGAAGAGACTGATGTGCTGTCACAAAAAATGTGGAATTCATTGTAACCTTTCCGTCCCGGATTATTTTGCTGTCATCATGTTTGTTCATTAGGCTCTCAATTTTTAACCATTTCGAACCAAACACGCTGCAAATAATCGAGAAATGATCTCAATTCCATAAGTCACCGGATTTACACGGAAATTTCCTGAGGTCTGTCCAATGTGAGACATTTTCCTTTTTTTACAATATGAACATAGTATTTTTCGTTGTTAGCGTTAGCGTTGTTATGGTATACTTCGTAGATTGGATACTAGCGACACTCACGTCTCTTCTGAAATCCTCAGTTAGACTACTTTCAGGAATAATGCTGGGGAGTAAACATTGGTTCCAATCTAAACAAGAGTAACAGAAGCATGACTGTCGCTATTCCCGGCCACGCCCATCTTTACCATAACTAGGGATAGGGAAGGAAATGTTGATGTAGTACTTACTTAACGAGAGGCCACCGACTTAGCGACACCCTCATAAGTGCTACGGAGTTGGAGGGTTGGGTAGGGTATTCGGTTAGGATTCACCTCAAGTTGACGATGCAACCAAAAGGATGTATTGTTTATTTGTTGTTCATTTAATCTCTCGATAGCCGGCTACCGAAAGAACATATTCATTTTGTTTAGTGATCATGGATTTTAAGAGTCATGACGGAGAGCTTGGGATTAAACCCATGATTTTCTGCTCAGTAAGCAAAAACGATCCCTCCAGGGTCATCGAACATCTCAGAACTATAACGCTTCGCGACAATACAGGACTGCGTTTTCGCTTGATATGCAAATAGTTTCCGAGGTTAATGTTCAATATCAAATATACAAATGATGGTGGCGACTTATTGTGCTGTGGAAGAGCTTGGGGTTAAATCCATGATTTTCTGCTCAGTAAGCAAAATCGATCCCTCCAGGGTCATCGGGCATCTCATAATCCACAGCGCTTCGCGTCAAGGTACGAATATATCGATGAACTATCTATTATTGAATAACTATTATTTACCATAATTACATGAAAGAAATAAAATATAAACTACAAACAAAACGTGACTACTAAATCTCAAAAAGATATTCTCACAAATGTATTTCACGCAACCAGGAATCTCAAAACCATTAGACGTTATAATGATACTCTGCACATGGTAGACACAAGAAGAGGCCAAAAAGCAAGCGTCCGACACACAAAAACCCGCCAAATCCACTTGCAGTCACAATCAACGATTCTACGAATCGCGAGCGCTCACGAATCATAAAACCGCTGACTGCGACACTCTGAAAGCGAAATTGATAAGCTCTATGCGTCAAACACCCGCCCTTCAATCCCCTCCCGCATCCATTAACACAAATCTCCATTACAACATCTAACGAATTCAAAACTCTGAAAATCACTCATCTATAGCAAGTGAGTGGAAGCAACCCTGCATGCAACCATTCTTCACTTTTTCTGCCTATCTTTCTGTTAGGCCTGTGGACATGCGTTAGCTTCGAAACTTCTAACCAAACTGGGAAAATTTTCAATCACAAAAAAAAAACTTCAAAAAAACTTTCAAAGGTAATTACAAGTAAAATAAATATTGATTATTTTACGCAAAAACGAGCAAGTAATATTAAACCTCTTGTATCGTATGCTAATGCTAATTGACTGTAACAAAAATAATATGCTTAAAAAATAAAATATTATTAAAATTATGTGCAAAATTTACTAGAAGATCATTATTTTATTGGTGAGAAGTTTCTAATAAGCCCTCCCAGTTCCTCTGTATACAGAACAAATCTGATATTATAATCAGAATTGCTCAGTCAGCATGAAGCAGCCGATTTCATCAAGGAAGTTCTATTAACAACCAAGAATTAATCGTTTGAGGCATACTGAAGCATTAAGAAGGTGATATGTGTCACTATAGGAAATCATCATCGTTGCAAATATAAAGAAATTAAACATAACCCTTTGCTTCAGTACCGTCAACCTCCATGTCCATGGGGAGGGGTACATAGTATTTTTCGTTGTCAAATCATAAACGAATCGTATAAATGGGAGTAATTTTTGCATGTATACCGGATATTCTAGGTTCTCCAAATCGTCCTGGAGTTCAGGTGATTTGTTCTACTATATCAACCAAGGCTCCAATAGTGTCTGTAGTATCGAAATATGTCCAAACAGATTCAAAGTGTCTATGTGGATTGTACCCGACATATTGCTACGTATACAAGATGATCTGAAATCATTCTGGAGATCAGATTATTTTTCTATTAGATCACCTAAGACTAATTCAATATCTGTAGTATCGAAATATGCCCAAACAAATTTGCAGTGTCTATGTCGATCATGCCAATCTATTTCCGTGTATGCCAAATGTTCTAGGATTTCCAAGTCGATATTTCGATAACACAGATATTATCCTAGTCTTTGTTTATTTAGTAAAACCAATCATCTGAACTGCTGGACGAATTGGAGAACCTAGATCATCTGGTATACGTGGAAACAATTTAACATTATCTGTATATACACCATGAAGCTGTTTGGACATATTTCGATACTACAGACTTTACCCCAGTCATGGTTGATCTTGTAGAATAAATCATCTGAACTCCAGAACAATTTGGAGAACTTAAAACATCAGCTATACATGACAATAGTTCATGCATGATCCACATAGACACTGTGCATTAGGGTGTTTCATTTTGAAAAAAGTGATGAATTTTTGATAGGCCACCCTCCAGTTCGATTCATAGCCCCAAAATATGAACCTGTGCAAAAAATGGTAAAGATTGATGAAGGTTTGGAGGTCGCGCCAATGATTTGGATTTTGTATGGAGATTTTGGTGAATTAGTATGGGAAATTATTGATTTTCGTTTACATTGCTCTAACTTTGGTTGTAGTTGTCCAAACGTTGAAAAAAAAAAAATATGTGGTTGTCATGACAATGATCAACAAGCCTGTTGTTGTTGCGATGAAATTGGCGTTGTTGCCTTGTACATATTCATCTGTCAATTTACCCTATTTTGCCATTTTTTCACATTTTTATAATTCTTGATACGCTGCAAAACTGAGCGTAGCAACTGTAGGCTTTTTGTTTATTGCCATAGCAATAACATACTAAATTTTTTCGACATTTGGACAAGTAGAAGCAAAGTTATAGCGATATAAGCGATTTTTTAAATTCTTCCATAGTAATTCCCATACAAATTTCAAATCATTGGCGCGACCTCTAAACCTTCATCAATCTTTACCAATTTTTGCACAGGTTCATATTTTGGGGCTATGAATCGAACTGGAGGGTGGCCCATCAGAAATTCATCACTTTTTCAGAATGAAGCACCCTACTGTGCATCTGTCTGGAAATCTTTCGATACTAGAGACATTGTCCTAATCTCGGTTGATCTAGTAGACAAAATTATCTGCACTCCAGGATGATTTGAAGAACCTTGAACATCTGGATTACTCGGAAATAGATCATGCATGATCCACATAGACACTTTGAATCTGATTGGAAATTTTTCGATATTACAGACATTATTGCAGACTTGGTTGATCTAGTAGAACAAATCAACTGATGTCCTCACGGAGAACAAACTATAGCAGCCGCAATTATTTTTCCGGTCAAAATAACAATATTGTTCAATTGTTTTAGAGATCCCGAAACTATAGTTGATTTGACTATATATAGAGGGCAACAACTATAGTCCATAGTTGGCTCCTCGGTTGGCTCAACTATATTTTTCAATAGATGAACAAACGTCAAACTTCAAAATACAACTATGCTTTAGTAGATTCAAGAAAACTATTGTTACACTCAAAAAATTTCACACGTTTGATCGAAGTGTTTAAACACTTGATTTTTTAAATGCAGAATCACATTTACTTTAAGTGTATTTCACCTTGGTTCGATGTGTTATACACGTTAATTTAGAATGTTTCAAACTTTGAAATGTTGAAAAAATTTTACTTTCTATTCAAGTGTATTGCACATTGAATCACGCTACTGTTCAAAACAGTTGGATTTAAAGTGTTTTGCATTTCAATACGATGTGAATTGCTTGCTCAGAAAGGTAAACATCGAAAACAAGAGTTGTGACTTTATCCTATTAACCCGCCTCATATATGAGAACAACCCTGGCACAGTGAGATAGAATGAAGACTCCGGCAGCAGCACACCCCAACAGTCCATGATCGAATCCCACATCAGACCCATTAAAAATATATGTGAAAGCTC